CTCATCTGATTGCTTTGGATTTCCCGTCTGAAGTGGAATATGGCAATGGCGCAAACTCGATTTTGTATAGCACTTTTAGTATTAAAAGTGGCGTTCACAGATGATGTTACAACAAATCGACCAGACTCTGTGATGCTTTTATCTGAATAATCTTGGAAAGGAACCACTAGCCAGACTAGCAGGTAGTCATCGAACACCACAAAGTTATGTATTTAAGCTTTAAAATATGTCGTATATGCGGCAGAATGCTACTTATGGGTTTACTCTGAAACAGCTGACCATCACGTACGCCCAACATAGGGAACCTAACCCAAGCCGTGGTTTTGCAGAGCTTTTTCTATTAAGTTACTCAGCTGAACAAGCCTTCTAAACGGTGTGGTACTTCATTGCAGTCTAAGAATGGTGGGCCGTCCACGACTAGGCGGTGTTTAACCAAGGACATTTCGAAACGACTAAAAGCTTGTCAGTTGCATCCGTCGAGTAAACGGTCAAGTCAGTGAACCCCTCAGAAACTGAAACAATAAACAGCTTGTTGACCACCAGCTGATCACCTGGCAATGCAGTACTGGTCAAAGCAAATATTAAAGTTGTTAGCTACGTAGCTGGAGAACCCAAATATAAAATGCAGCTGATCTTACGATCAATAAATAAAGTTTTATGCATCGACGATCATTCATCGAAATTCGAATTATATTTTTTTGAAGAAATACCTCGAACAAAACTGGTAATGTCTTCGAATGTTGTTGTTGTGTAGTTACGGCGGTACCAAATCTAAAACTGGAGTTGCTAAAAGTTATGGAGTGTTAGTTGCTAAAAGTAATTCAACTCATTAGTTTCGAGCACCAAGAAGCGCCGTTATTATGTGATTTTGCGATAGTTGCTGCAAGCTTGCTGAGTGTTGATGCAGTGTTGCATATGTCGTGTAAAGTGGGAGTTGCCAGTGGGAGATGGAGGGGAAAATGTGGTATGCAGAATGCTATAAAATTTAAACAATGATGGAACATAGTTTTTCCACTACGTCCCATCTCCTCCTGGCTACTATGAGGATTAGACTTCCGTTGATTTCTGGAG